GTGAATGTTATAAACGAGAGGATTCTAGTGGGTAGTAAATAGATGCTGTGGTCCATAGACACTTACATCTTATCGTCGATTAAGAATCAATAAGCAAATGCGTTGTCTCCCTAAAGACAAAGATGGAATAATACCTCATTAGCAGTAAAAGAAGGCCTCCTGTTCTACAGATAATGGAAAGTTGATAAAACCGCTCAGGTTTTATACTATCACAAGTCACTTCAGCTTTGTAAGGACCAGTGTCCAAAAATAGTAAGAAATGTAGGTATATAGATCTTTCTGGGCCCGTGTCCTTCTCGTTGCGAACTCGGGGAATCTATTGCATAGGTTAAGATGGACATTTTGTAGGAAGGCTCGAGTTTTTACCACGATTACTCGTTGCTAAAAGGAATAGAGGAGAAGTTATTCTCTCCCAAGGAGGAATTGTCATGGTGCGACTGGTTTTTGTGGAGCTGCATCAGCAGCAAGCTATCATCATGCATCAGGATGCTTTCCTTCGATAATAGCTTTCCTGTAGTCCTGCTGATATTTTTAGTAAAATTGAAGCAATATGAATGGCGACTTTTAACGTTTGTCCTTGTCTCTTGTTTATCGTAATAGAGAAGGCTACTTTCAAAGGGAACTGTAAGCGTTTGAACTGGAAAGGCAAGATTGTTGGGATGATAGAGACTCGATATTATATGCAGGAAGTCGATGGTTGCAGGTGGCTCAGGACCGTGCTTTGTGGCATTCTTCGGGGGAGGCCTATGTTCAGCAGTGGACCTGTGAAGGGCTGTAAAGATGATAATTCCTGTATTATTAAAGTTTGTGCCTATTGATACAAGTTTCGTCATTCACTTTTGTGGCAGTTGCATGACACGCAGTGACAGAACACTCATTTTTATACTGTGAGAGGTATGAAATGAAAAAAAATATTTTTGGCATTTTAGCTATATTATATGAAAGGTATTTGGTTAACTAGATTATTTCTTAACACTCTAAAAGCTCAGTATCGTATGACGGTAATAAAAAAGCCATGCTGGCTTATGTATTGGTACGTTGGTCAACATCCGGCCAATTTCAAATCTGTGTGTAAATCAAAATTTATGAATATCACTTTTGTAAGTTAACTCTTAACAGTAATAATTATCACGTATGTTCTTAAAATAAACCTCGTCTAAAACTCAAAGTAAAGGTTGTGTTTTCATTTCATTAAATAATTATTAATAATTTATTAATATTAATGGAAACAATTTATACATTGTGTTACTAAATTGTTTCCCAATAGTATAAATAAATTTCGAACGCAAAGCAGTTTATAAATGGGCAAATTCCTAATCAAAATCTCCCGCAGTCTGTAATTAATAACACAGGTACGTTATTGTGTCTGCCACGGCCATTATTTAAAATTTACAGCGATAGGAAATTGCCAAAGTGCTGGTACAAAGGCGTCGCACTGCGTTGCGTGGTTCTTACTTTATGATGTTTTTATTTTATTACCAAGTAACTGCATTTAGAATAATAAGATAAGAAAAGGTGTTTATTTTAAACTTGGCTAAAGTTTAATTTGGATTTATAATAAAACAAATAATTCAAATACGGCCATCAATCGAAAGCTATGAAATCTCTCTGGTATTTTCCATATTCAACTGTTATCTATCACCCTATTTCATCACGTTCCTCTTACGACACTCACGGGGCGAATTGTGGTGATGGATTCCCTTTCATCGCTACATGGCATACCTATAGATAATTTTATATTCATCATTGACGCCGGTTACGTTGCATGACTGACCGACATGGCATGACTGCAGGACGAATGGGTTTACTCGACCGGGAAAGGACCAGGTAAAATAGCAGTGTAAAAAGCTGCTGTGCTTCATATGGTCTTAGTCCTCAGCGGAGACAATGTATCTACATTTTGTTTTTTAATCGTAGATAGATGTAGACTGTGTCTATGGGCCACGGCATCCACTTAAAATTAGGTGGACTTTGAGCTCATTTGTCATGCTTATTCTATAGAATAGACAAAAAGCATTTGTAAGTAAGCGGGGAAATAAAGGTCCATTCAAAAATGCACACACTGCTGGAATGCATTGAGGGCAGTTAGTGCAGAGCTAATATCCTCCCACTGGTAATGGCGCTGCCTATCACCAGTCTGTACAATTTAGATCTAGTATTATTTATTAGATAATCCACTACCAGTCAATAGAGAGCACTTCATGTAGGTAAATATGATATTTAGAGAAAAAGTTGACATACACAACAATTCTTATTATTATAAATACAGTTGTGGATGTGTGTTGTTACTATCGAATTTACAGAGTTAATATAAAATTACAAGAGAAATTTTAATAATATCAGGTAATAATACAAAAAGTATGAAAAATATTTTACTTACTATAAAAGAATATTTATTTATTTAATTTATTTGTGAACCCCACAACAAGCACTCATTACTTGGAAAGCTTTTTACCAATTAGGTTTTAAAAAAATTTAATTATATTATAATTTTACAGTATTGTAGACGACTGATTTCTTTTGTATTTCAGTACTGCTGATCAAAATTGAAAAAAATAAATTTTGTTTTAAAAAGCCATTAGAAAAAGGTAAGTAAGGAAAGTTTTTAATTTTATTCAAGTAAAGAGAAAAATGTATTGCTACTCTTATTTTATCTGAACATCTTATGTTATTTTTATATTAATAATCTCATTTTAAAAGAAACTAATTTATATAATGACTTGTTATGTATCCATGCGAATACTACAAATTGGTAAAACATAATATTTAAAAGCTGAATGTAACCCGGCTCTCAGGACGTCAAATATCTTAGTCGTCAGTGACTTGACTATAGCACCTACAGTAAATCGTTTAAAATTATAACAAACAATAACATGTGGTAGAGCCATGCTGCAGCTATATTGGTAGTGTAGTTGTAGCACGAATGGGTCGGCTCGACCGGGGAAGGACCACGCTCTCACAGAAAACCAGCGTCAAATGGCAGTTTAGCGCTGCTGTGTTTCGTGGGGTGAGTGTAGAGAACCGGAGACCCTTTTTACTGGAAAAGAGGCATTCCATCTTAGTCCTGACGGGTGACAACTCATCTGCATTTTGATTCGCAAACGAGGATAAATGTAGATGTTTATGGGCCACAGCGACCACTTACTATCAGGTGGACTGTGTGCTCGTTTGTCACCCTATACTATAAAAATAAAATACAAGAGGTCCGCCCCATTGATTCATGAGAAAACTTCTAGAGGTTTCCTCAAAAGGTTTTCTTAACTTTAAATCAGCGTTAAAAGTAAATCGTTTTATATTTATTAATTTACTTGCAATTAATAATACCTTTGGTTCCTGAGAGACTAAACCGTTAAATTATTGCGTTCTATGAAATTAAAAAGGCCGCTCAACTCCTATGACCTACCTACTTTAAAAGGTCACTCTCACTTTACAGATTCACACACATACACATACAAGGGCCTCATAAAATAACTAAGTGTTACTATTAAGCAGGTAAGCGTTTCTAATGCTGAAGATTTTTAAACTGCTCATTACTGTTGGCGGTTTGTTCCACCAATCCGTCAGTCGACGGCCACTGCGATGCCAAAACGTTTATCCACATTAATCAACCGCTGCGTATAATTTTTCACGTACAGCTATGTTCTCACGTGCTTGCGTAGTGCTGTGCTTTTATTCCCAATATACACAATATAATACAATTATAATATACATTATTTTTGGCAAAGTGTATTGAGAAATACTGTAGGAGATTAGATAGGATATGGTTTAGTTAATATTATGTATAGAGTTAAGCATATTTTTTTATTTTCCATTTTCCCCCCAAAACTAATCCTTTTAGGCGAAAATTCAAATTTAAACTCTCGTATGAAATTATCTTACCGTATTTTTATAATTAAGCTGAATTTCGATGATTGTTTATGTTCAGAGAAAAACATCTGTCATAGACAGATAGGCTGACAATGAGGTGATTCCATGTGTATTACGAGCCCAATGAACACCAGCGCTGTTGTTTCGGCGACAGCATACGCTGAGTGAGGTCCGTTTGCCTAATTCGCCAAGGGACCTAACATGAGGAACGTATTTTTATTGTAATTTATAACTATACATATTTTTTAAATGTTATATCCGTCAAATTGTTATTTTATTTTTTTTATTTTGTTATACTTTTGCTTCAAAAACAAATAAAATTTAAGTGCCTAAATATGTTTGAGGTGATTTGCAATAAATGTTTCTTTCTTTCTTGTTATGTTTTGCTGAATTATATACGGAACTTTCTAAAATCAAAATTAAATCTTTACTTAAAATTTTTTTGAACTATTTAAAAGTGACTTTCAACTAAAACTAATAAGCAGGTTTTATCTAACCCATGTTTAAATTCAATAGTACTGAAATTACATTGAAACCAAACTAAAATTATTAGGCATATTATAAACATCACTATGCATCAAAAGATGTTAAATAAAAGATGGCCTCCCTGCGTCCGCGCAACTAATGCTAATGTCTAGCGAGAGATATGATATATTGACAGCAATGGACAGACAGATACACGTACACCGACCTGTATGTGTGCTTCTACGTAAGTTAGTGCTCCAACTACTCGTAGCATGTTATTATTTTGTAATTTGTGACGGTGGAAAGTGGGAGCGTGCTTTGCAGTGGCAATAAATATTGTTATGATGCTAAGTTTTATTTTAGGTAAAAAATTGCGCCTATTAACTTCTTAAGCTAGGAGTGTAGTGTCTACGAATAGAGAATTTTATAACGAGAAACAAAATTAATACACATAATGTTTTAATTCAAAGACACAATTTAACCAGCTTTAAAAAAATCATAATTCTAGTGGCAATTTTCGTGCACTATCAAGTTTTCAACGTTTGTTCGACAATTTTTAGACAGCTCTGTACCGCAGTAGTTAAACCATATACCTATTGCGACAACTAGGATTTGTTTGTACTATGAATCATAGGGTTATCCATTCGCTGTATATAATATGTACATACCCGTATAAAACTTCTTCTTTTCGATTGAATCTGAATGGATTTTCTTCCATCGATTGGTCACCAGAGTATCGTTTATCAATAAGAGTTTGACACTTGAAAATGACCTTTACAACCTGGCATGCTAACTACCTTAACACTTGACTAATTCTTTACGGGTGACTGAACAAAAATTCTTGGTGGTAACAAATAACACGAAACCAGCACTGAAACTGAACCAAAATGGGAACGGATAACCGGTACACGAGCGAAACAAAACCTGGCTCCTTTTATTTTTATACGTGGTAGAGCCATGCTACAGCTATATTATGGTTGTAGCAAGAATGGGTCGGCTCGATCGGGGAAGGACCACGCTCTCACAGAGTACCAGCGTTAAATAACAGCTTAACGCTGCTGTGTTTCGTATGGTGAGTGTAGAGAACAGGAGACCCTTTTTACTGGAAACGAGGCATTCCATCTTAGCCCTCACGGGTGACAACGCATCTGAATTTTGATTCGTAATCGAAGATAGATGTAGATGTCTAGGGCCACAATTTTTATATTTATCAACAGTGGTAGAGCCACGTGGCGGCTTTTCCTGTCGCACGGATGAGCCGGCTCGAACCGGGGTGGTATCACGACCTCACAGAATACCAGCGTGAAGTAGAAGTTTACTCTGCGTTTCGCTTGGTGAGTGCAGGTGGCCGGAGGCCCTTTTTACTGCAAATGAGGCATTCCATCTTAGTCCTCACGGGTGACAAAGCATCTGCATTTTGATTTGTAATAGAGGATAGATGTAGATGTTTATGGGCCGCAGTAACCACTTACCATCAGGTGGACTGTGTGCTTGTTTGTCACCCTATCCTATAAAAAAAAATTCTGGCTTGCCAGTATAAAAATGATATTTTCGGCAAAAAAGACATCATGGCGGTAGAAAATTTCTTTGTCATGTATGACTATTACGATCGATTGAGAATAACTTAAAAACTATTGGTGAGACCTTGATCAAATATATATATGGGGCCACATGAAAACCATCAGCTTTCAAATAAAAACAGAATCATCGAAATCGGTTCACCCAGAAAAGAGTTATGAAGGAGCACATTAAAAAAACATACTAAGCGCTCGCTTTAAATTTCACAGTAGGCGAGCAACCTGAGTTCGATCTCCGCCGCCACCAATACAATTGTTAATTGCAATTTTAAGGGCCAATATACTTCGTGCTCCATGGTCAAGGAGAAAATCTTGCGGAAACCCACTAATGTAAAAGTCCGCCAACACGCCCACCGGATACTCTTTTACCATAGACCCTTTTTACCGGAGATCCCTTTAACTGGAAACGAGGCATTCCATCTTAGTCCTCAGGGTTGAAAACACATCTGCATTTTGATTCGTAATCGAGGATAAATATAGATGATTATTGGCCGCAGCATTCATTTACCATCACAGGTGAGCTGTGTACTAGTTTTTCATTTTTGTTCTGTAAAAAAACACGCATTGTATAAGTTAACGGAAAGTAGATAACATGATGGTTTTGAGTACCATAAATATGTGATTATAAATTGTCGCATCTTTAGATTGCGTAGACTTTTCAGATTTCCGAGGAACTCTAGATCCTTAGTATTTGATATAATTTCAACTTGATTGACTTCTACGTGCTCCTCAGAAAAAGGGCCTTGATGTACCGAAAACAAAGTGATCCTTTAAGGGTTTCGTTTTTCCTTTTGATGATGGAAGCCGTAAATATGACCTTTCCTTCTATTAAAGCGAATAATACACATTTAATGAAACTAATATTACGGATTTTATAGCGTTTATTCTAATAGGTTTATTCTAATACGTTTCCAGTAAGTTTGTTACTCCTTTAAAATATAATTTTTGGTTTCAATTAAATAAGCAATGATATTAAGTACCGTGTAAGGTATAGGGAAGCGTATCTAATACATCCTGATTTGTAGTTGGGTACCTATTTTAAATTAAGTTAGGAAATTGTATTACGTATGTCGGAAACTCATTATATCATTGTGATAACTATTAAATACTTTGCACCGCCATAAGATATCACACTACAATTAAATAACAGGTTTCACAAAGACATATCCGAGAGTCGTGTTTAATTTATTCAACATTAATTCATGTCACACCAATCTTAGCAGCCATCATTATTTCGCATTTATTTCGTGCCCGCCAATAGGAAACAAGATGGCGCCTCCCGCGGAATTCTTAACCAATGGCGTTTCTACATTTGAAAAACAATAGAACATAAAAAGTCTCGTCACGCCGTTATGCGCACGAGTCGAAGTTCTAATTCGTGACTGTTTGAATAACGTGGAATTAACGAGCTCCATTTACACCCACAGTTGTGTCATTTTACGCTTAAATGAACAATTTATTCTTCGTGGCAAATTGTTATATAACGTGTTGTCCAAACCTTTCAGAGAAAAGTAAAATAACGTTACAGCCTATATATGTTCCACATATGGCCATATCCTTCCTTATATCTGAAAGGGTTTTTCGGGTGGTTCGAGTCCACAGCGCTACTCCAATGCGTGTTTGGGTACTTTACCACATTTTTTTTTAATTCCTCACACATGCAGGTTTTCTCGCGATGTTCTTTCACTAAATGCAATCAAGAATTCAATTATTGCCTGCAGAGATCGAACCTGGGTTGCTTGAATTAAACTTTGCGCTTAGCCCATGTGGCTATCACGTCTCCGTTATAAAAAGCCAACTGCAGTATTAAAATTAAATATTCTAGAGATTTTTCAAGCAAAAGTACTTAGGATACGCAATAGTCTTTGATAATTCTCCAACAAAAGTGTTGGTAAATTTGGTAAAGGCACATTGATCTATCATCATCATCATCATTATTATTACAGCCCATCACAACTCTGAACAAAGAATGCCGCAAAGTGTGACCCTGAGCCATTCTCCATGAATTAATGTCCTGCACTGCATCTCTTACCAAGTCGACCGGTCGACCGGTAGAAGGCTATCACTCGAGAAACTTTCCTCCTTATAGATTGTCGGTTCTTCGAGCTCTCGTACTCGATCTGACTGAACTATAATATGTAAACTAGCATAGAATTCATTGCGGCGGTTAACATTGCCTTTTTTTACGTGTTTGTATGCCAACAATGATTTAAATAAATAAATAAATATTGCCGGCCCATTGCCACTTCAGATCCATTGACCTACTTCGTGTTAAAGAATTTTCAATTCATTGTTTAAATACCAGTTTGTAAACTTTATGGGTTTTGGTGATATAAAATGACACTAATTGAAAATAATAGATTTATTTTTAAAACGCATACTAGTAAATAAAATTAACAAAAAGGTTTGTTTAATTAGTAAGAACGAACGAAGAACGAAGTCAATAATTGTAACAAATGGCACAGGGGTTATATGTACAAAGACATTTTCTGTACGTGATATAGAATGGAAAACGGACAGGGATTCCAACACCTAAGCGTTCCTAATTAGGGATGGGAACAACACCTGCAGGACACTCCTAACGCCTTGGCGTTAAAATAAGTAGGGTTGACATTTTATGATATTTACTTTATTACATCATCGCATTGTACATGTTAAATTTTTTTTATAGGATAGGGTGATAAACGAGCACACAGTCCACCTGAAGGTAAGTGGTTGCTGTGACCCATACACATTTACATCTACTAGAATACTCAATTGAGAATCAAAATACAGATACGTTGTTATCCGTGAGGACTAAGATGGAATGCCTCTTTTCCAGTAAAAAGGGTATCCGGTTCTCTAGACTCACCATGCGAAACACAGCAGTGTTAAGCTGCTATTTTACGCTGGTATTCCGTGAGAGCGTGGTCCTTCCCCGGTCGAGCCCTCATTCGTGCTACAACTATACTACTAGTAGATGTAGCTGCAGCATGGCTCGACCACGTATAAAAATGTTTATAAAAATAAGTTAAAAAATGTGATCTTTACCATAATCTTTACATATAAATGTTATTTTTAATGTATACATGGTTTTGATCTAATTTAATTGTTCTTATCTAAATTTCTAGCAATCCCGTCAGTAGTAGGTATTTCGCCCTTCCGGTGTTTTCCCGGTACCTATCACGAAATTCACACAGAATTAATTACAGACTTTGTAAACTTTAAATTTAAAATTAATAATTTCGTTCATAAGTATAGGTATTAAATGAAAGTACCTAATCCTACGGATTTTATCGTATATACGGAGTTTATATATATATTTTTTTTTAAATTCCATAATATTAGTTTATGTGTAGTTAATAAGAAGTATATAGGAGTCAATAGAAGTAGCAGTCTGGAAGCGAGGCATTCCATCTTAGTCCTCACGGCTGACAACGCATCTGCATTTTGATTCATTATTGAGTATAGATGTAGATGTCTATGGGTCATAGTAACCACTTACCATCAGGTGGACTATGTGCTCGTTTGTCACGTTATACTAGAAAAAAAATTATAAATAGAATTTATTAATAACTTGACTACCACGCGACCTATCCTAAATACATATTACACATGTCATATCTTGGCAGAGCTATGAACAACGTCTCAAAAACGCACCAACGATTATATATTGAAAAAATAAATTTGTTGAAAAGTAAAAGTCCCGAATATTTTTTGTTGGAGCTACCAATACCTGGAAAGAATTTGCCGTGCTGTGCAATGCGTGTTGATGGACTTTACAGAAATCCGTTTTTTTCTATAATTTCTTAGACAGTAAACAAGCACTTTCAATTAACAATTTAGTTTGTAACGGCGAGGATCAGAGGTTCACTCGTGTTCTATCATGGCTCACTAGATTCATTTTGACAGGTTGCTGTTGAAAGGATATAGATAATAAATAAAATGAGGAGGTACTTTGCAAAAATTATGAGAGTCATAATTTTTGCAATATTTTACTGTTTGTAATTTCATTAAATTATATTACTTAAAGAAAATTAATTCTATGAAACAATATAAAATTATTATTTAAACAAAATGTTAAACTAAGAATGTATATATGTATAAGTCATAGGTGCAAATCTAATTATAATAAGAAATATAAACCTGTCGCCAGCCCTATCACACAGAGGCGTTGCGTGTAATTAGAGA